CTGTAGTATTGGTGTAGTATTACTGTAGTACTGCAGTAGTGTTGTTTTACCTTGGTCAGAGACTCGTCTCCACTTGGACTTAACCATTGTAAATTCTCCTCTGGTGATCTGATCTGTGACAGACTGACTGAACGTCTCATGGAACGGAGGATAACCACCCAGACTGAGAGACAGGTAGATTGGGGACGAGTAGAGAAGAGATGGGTAAACAGTTAAAGCTGAAATCAATTAAAATGATGAGAGACAGACAGACTGAGGGCGAGACAGGGAGCCTACCAGACAAAGAGCAGGACTCCGAGGCTCCAGGCGTCCACAGCGAGACCGTAACCTGTGGTGGACGCCTGAGTGAAGACCTCAGGAGCGAGATACGAGGGCGTCCCGCACAGTGTCCTCATCAACACTGTCTCCTCCAGGATCCTGGACTGGTTAAAGTCTGTCACCTGAGAGGGACATATATAGTATTACAATATAAAGTATTTAAATGTACAGTATTAAACACAAAGTATTCTAACTGACTGCCCATTACACTGTCCTCTGTCCTTCACTCTGTCCATCACTCTGTCCTCTACCTGACTCACCATCACACTGTCCTTTGTCCATCACTCTGTCATCACTGTCCTCTGTCTGACTGTCCATCACTCTGTCCATCACACTGTCCTCTGTCTGACTGTCCATCACTCTGTCCATCACACTGTCCTCTGTCTGACTGTCCATCACTCTGTCCTCTACTTGAGGAGCTGAGCCTCTTTGACACCTGCTGCCTTTAATTAGCCTGATGACAAACCATGACTCTGGAGACAGAGAAGACGAATCCTCAGCTACTGTGATTAATGAGGTGCAAACACATAAAGAGCAAAAAGACAGAAAATAAACTGTATGCAGACACGCTGTCCACCACGGCACTCACTCCCAGCATGCACTTCGACAGAGAGAGGTTTGATCATCTCAACACAGAGACAGACTGAAGCTCCACCCACTGGAAGAGACATCAACCAATCAGAGTACCTTAATGAGACAGACGTCATCCTGTGAGGACAGAAGGACGTTCTCTGGTTTCAGGTCCCTGTGGATGATCCCATTACTGTGGAGGTACTACACACACACACACACACACACACACCATTACATTGTGCTGCCTTCCAGGGGACCACTGATGCTGCGCCTCAGTAACCATGGCGACACAGCTGGACTCACCTGCACCGCTCGCAGCATCTGGTAGAAGTAAAGTTTGGCGACAGATTCTTGAAGCTGCTGCTGAGACTTGATTCTGTTGAACAGTTCTCCGCCCTCCATCCTGAAAACACACACTGTCAATAAAGTTCACTTTGAACACAACTTTATTTACCACATCACAACTCACAGCTCCAACACGATGTAGAAGCTGTCGTCCGTCTGGTAGAAGTCCTCCGTCCTCATGAGACACGGCTGGAGGACAAGAGACGAGAGGCCGATCCCCGTTAGAACAACAGTACGACTTCAAACTTTGACTCATTTAAATTGATTTAAATTTGGAATTTTGTGAATGAATTGAAACTAGAAGCTGATGCACTCAGACACGCCCCTTTTGAGCTGTGATGTAACAGTGGTTGTTTGATCTTTGAGTCACGTTAAGTTTACAATGTTTTTCAATGTCAATCAATCAATGTTTGTTTCGATCGACTGGTCAGAAGAATTTGATTTGTTTTTGGAAAATAAGAAAAACATCATCAGAGCGGCTCTTATATTCTGTTTCTTCTTCGTTGGTGTCGGACTCACGTGGTCGATCCTCTGGAGAATATTGATCTCTGTCTTTGCATTTCGTGTCGCTGTCTGTGATTGGACAAAAAGAAACAGCATACGTCACATGATCATGGTTCAGCAGCCGTGTTTACAGTTCTCAGCCAATCAGAGCGCAGATCACTCACCCCTTCAGACTTAAAGTTGTGCTTGTTGATTATTTTCACCGCAAATTTCTTACAGGTCGATCTCTCAAAGGCCAGTCTGACTTCACCACACACTCCCCTAGAGAGAGAGAGACAGAGGGACACAGACATAGAGACATACAGAGAGAGAGAGAGAGAGGGGGACAGATAGAGAGACAGAGGGACACAGACATAGAGACATACAGAGAGAGAGAGAAGGGGACAGATAGAGAGACATACAGAGAGAGAGAGAGAGAGAGAGAGAGGGGGGGGGGACAGATAGAGAGACAGAGGGACACAGACATACAGAGAGAGAGAGGGACACAGACATAAAGACATACAGAGAGAGAGAGAGGGGGACAGATAGAGAGACATACAGAGAGAGAGGGGGACAGATAGAGAGAGAGAGGGGGACACAGAGAAAGAGTATAGTTTTATTGATGTATAATTTATTATTTTGCTAAAATAATACATTGTTTTATATTATTTTATTATTATATTATAACACTTTGGCAATATTGTAATACACAGTCATGCCAATAAAGCTTATTGAATTGAAAATTGAA